ATTAATGATCAAATCTTACAACATGATTACAGATATGTGAACCTCATTAGGTGCATGTATAAGGTGATTGTAAAATGCTCTTGTTACTTGTTTCAAGAAAGTGATTGCTAAGGTAATTAGTGTATAACAATATGCATATGTGGGAAGGAGAAACATTCTTGATGAGCCTCTTATGGTTAATGGGCTTCATGCTTGGGATAAAAAAGTCATGATAAAAATCATAATTTTCAGATTAAATTTCAACAAAGCATTTAACTGATTTCATTGGGCTTTTGAGACTTGGTTTAGGTCATGAAACAAATGAACTTTGGCGCCAAATGGAGAGGATATATTAAAGGGTTCTTGTCATCTCGGAGAGCTTCAATCTTGGTAAACAAATATGCTTCCAAATAAATTGATAATTAAATGGGAATGATGGAAGGTGATCCATTGTCACATTTTCTTTTCATTCTTTCCTTAAAGAGATTACATGTATCGATGGAAGTTGTCACCGAAAATCATCTCTTTACATGTCTGTCTTTACTAAATAATGGTCCCATATTATCTCATTTTATGTATGTTGGTGATGTAATTTTTTTAGGTGAATGGTCATCCATGAAAATAATCAATCTTCACAGGTTGCTAAGATGTTTCTCTATCAGAGTTAAAGGTAAACCTTCACAAGAGTAAAGTTTATGGCATGGGCGTGAACCATTTGGAGATCCAATTGTGAATACGTTTTGATATAAATTGAGTTCGTAGAAAGCAAAAAACCTCTCCGTTGGTAGTAGATTAACGATTTTTGAATCCATTTTAGGAAATCTACCACTATATTATTTTCCATATTCAAAGCGTCCACGAAGCCAATTGATTTGCTTGAAAGTATTCATATGAGATTTCTCGGTGGTAAGCGGTGAATACAAGAAAAAGACACGTTAGGTGGTGCAGAAATCCGTTACCACCCGTGGAGAAGGTGGAGGCCTTGATGTGGGTTGTCTTCAATCTTTGAATTGTGCACTTTTAGAAAAATGGTGGTGGATATTAAAAAGTGAAGCAAAGTCTCTTTGAGTGAGTTGTATAAAAGTCAAACATAGGCTTTCCTTTGTTGATGATAAGCCAATTAAGGAACCATCCATTCCGAGGTGTGGTTAAACATAACGTATTAATGAAGATTTTGAATAGCAAGGTGTATATTTGAGTACCCTTTTGTTGGCAATGGTAATAATACCAACTTCTAGAAAGACAAGTGGATTAGTAATTTGGCCTTAAAAGATATGTATTTGGCCTTATATGTCACTGGATCTCCATAAAAACTATATAATTTTTGATAGATTGAAATTAGAGACATGTTTGGACTTGTAATCATATTAGAGACATATTTGGACTTGTAATCATATTGGAACTGGTCTACACATCCCTAAAGAGGTAGAGAATCCATAAAACAGACAGGCCTGATATAGTTTGTAGAAGGAGTAAACCTGACAAGGGACAAAGATGGAAGGAGGTGGCTAGCTGATGCTTGGGCTTTTTTTCGTTAGGTCCTGCGTTTGTTGATGTTTGATCTTTAAGGAATGGATTCCACAAATGAGTTTAGTTTAGTGAAATTGATTCCATTGAAGGTCAATTGCTTTGTTTCGAGGCTTTCCACGAACTGAACCTTATCTTCATGTTAGCTCATAACCTCACAATTATAGGTATTAATGTTCAATCCTTGTTGTCCCAACTAGCTTTGTGAATCTGTTGAGGAGTTGGTTGGTCACACGTTTTTATGTGCCCATTTAATGCATCCATTTGGCAAAGCTTATGTCATGGTACAATTTGATCCCATCGTCCCCTTTCTCATGATCAAACCTATGGAGATTGCTACTCAACGTTCATCGGCCAAGGAAAATGTCTAAAATGTTGTCCGCCTTATGCTATATCGTGCTTTGTATTTTGTAGAAAGCCAAAAACGCCATGGTCGCTAATAGGACCATACATGTTCCTTTAAAGTCGGTGGAAGAGGTGCAACATTGGTGTATTTCTCCTCTTTCCTATTGTAAATTTTAATATATGTAATGTCCATTTTGCATTTAGCTTCTTGCTAACCACTTTGATTAACGAAACTTATTCACCGTACAAAAAAATCAAATCAAACTTCATATGTATTCAAACAAAATAATTATTTATCATAATATATGATAGCAATAACAAGTAGGTGAAGAGTCTCACTTCCAAAATCACAAAGTAATCTCTTTGACTATAGTGAAAAAGTGGTGTTTGTGCAAAAGTTGTGGTCATTGGTTGGTCAGATGTAATTTTGACTTATGTTCTAATCAATCCACTCTTAGAATTAGGATTCATTTTTAAAGATAAAAGCTTTATCTATTCCATTAAACAAAATAATTATGAATGTTTTAAAACAATAAAAGAGTTGCTTTTATACATAAGTAGTTATGATAATTTACTTTTGTTAAAATATAGAATGCCGTAAATAAATAAATAAACCCTGGCACTCAAAATTAAAAATTATAAATAAACTTTGATTGAAAAACTGGAAAAGTATATTTTATTAGACTACCCAAAAAGTTAAATCATGTTTTTTTCCCTCAACGAATAAAGCGTTCAATTTATTTATTTATTTTTCTGGAACACAATCATTCTGAAAGCCATATCTACCCGTTGGTATTTCTATAGCTCTATTATACTGTAGATAAGCTTTGACCGGTTAAAAAAAGATCAGTTAAACACATTTAACGTACAGTTTGAATATATTCTAATTCAATTATGGCACATGCTATGTAAAAAGGATATTTAGAAAAACATAAGAGAGGAGACGTATTTATTTTTAAAGGCAGCATTTGATATGTGTACCAAAAAATAAAGAAAATAAATATAATCGGACGAAACTAAACAGAAAAATATTGAATTATACAAAACAAAATGTCATGTAATACTTGGAAGACTAGAATGGGGCACAACGCAATATTAATATCACCGTATTGTTCTTGGAACATATTAGTTTTTTCATAGTTTGTTTTGAATATCTTATTTTGCCATATAGTACTTATAAATGAGAGACACTAAGATTTATCATAAATATACATATACACAATGTCTAAGGTCCGATTTTTAACATAAAATTTCCATTTGTAAAACACACATAATATACTCCAAAAGCCCGTTTTTCATTAAAAGATCATCGCCATACATTTATTAATATATAAAAAAAAAGTCTTAGCAGAAGTCTAAAAACATATTTATTTCTTCGATGTGAGTATAGCCACCCTCGAGCATTTTCACGATCAGAAGAACAACCTAAAAAATAGTTATTCAACAACTGTAAGCCAATATTTTAGTGACTTTTCTAAAATATCATATACCACAATACAAATACATGTATACAAACAATGGTTACAATCTTTTGCCGTTCAACCAATAACGTGTGCATCTGGACTCATGGTCTAGCACCGTTCCGTCGTCAACATAAGTCTATAGGCTCATGGTCTGTCGTCGTTCTGCCGTCAACTCCTTATACATAGATAATGAATTAATCATATAAACAACATTCAATCATAAAGAGATTCTATAAATCTATGCATACATTCTACTCTACTAGCTTTTATATCCTAATATACATGGACATGTATTACAATACATAGTGCATTGAGATAACTCACTTGAATAGTCTCGAAACAGCTAAGTAGGTAGCTTTGCAAACTACTTGACCAACACATATCAACCTATAATATATTTTACATGTTATTAACTATTTGAGTATAATAACAAATATTTAGATCATCCACTAATCCCAAAAAAATTTGAACTCTATCAAATAAGGAACGACCATGTAAGATCATATTGGCGGTATGATCCGTTTGGTATAAAGATGTACCGTTTAGAAAATTCACTTTAAACACCTCAATGATCTAGCCTAGACATTACTCCCATACGTAGATTGAGCAGTATTTTGACTAGAATTACTAATAAATCTTAAATATAGGTTCATAATAACGACCATGAACATAAATATAAGTTACACTTAAAGAATAACAAGTATAACTTAACTTACAGGTTTTTCCGCAAAAGTTTGGGAAGTCGCGGGCAGCACTTCGACCCCAAATATTTCTTTTTATCGGGCTCTCTGATGCCGCAACGCTTCACTAAAGCGGTCGAAAACTCAAAAAGGCCGGGGCTCGGGGTCAGAGAAATGTCGAGAGAGTTTGAAGAGGAAATGAGCATCAAAAGAAGAAAAATCGTCCCATATATATAGAGTTCAGGGAGGTGTGGCATGCACTACGCACTCAAATCCCATGGTGAGACGTGTCGTTTGCATAGGTCGAAAGGGTTTCCTCTGGGTGCGCCACGACCTAACACCTTCCCTACCACCATAACTGCCACCATCACCACCACCACTACGACCCCCCGTCACATCTACCATTGCTGCCTCTGCCATCATCACCTCCTCCGTCACCAACCACCATAATCATATATGATTAATTATTTTATGAACAGACATGTATGTATAATCATTTATCATTTGACATATATGTATAAACATTTATAATCATATATGATTATACATCTCCGCCATATAATTATTTATGGCTGATCAGGTTGAATCGCAATATCTCTGGTTTTTTTTTCTTTATTTTAGAATCTCGGAACCGTGGTTGTGTGTGTGTGTGTGTGTGTGTGTGTGTGTGTATATATATATACACACACTTATGTATGTATGTATATGTATATTTATTTATTTGTATTTGTATATAGAAAAACAAGGCAATACGTAACTTAAGAGTATAAAAAGTTAGCTGTCGCATAACAACTTTGTGTAGCTGCCAAGTAAAATGTAGTAGATATTGTACCAAATCCTTTTTCATTTTCATTATATATTTTTTGTGAAATTATTCGTAAAAGTGAACTAAGCAAGAAACGTATGCGATTTAAGCCTACCCAATCCACCTAACGGGGTAAAAGGGACATTTCAGCAAAGCCACTATATACTTCCCCTTTATATGCTATCTGTTCTATCTGCTACCACCACAAACTACTAGAACTTCAAACAGAAGAGGAGGGAAGAGACATGGTGATGACATGGTTGCGATTACTGGTGGTAGCGGCGGTGATGACGGCTTTCACTTTTCCGCCATTAGTCGAGTGCCGGATCCGTCATTACAAATTCAATGTGCGTACTTCATGCAAAATTTAAATGTACAAAGCACATTGTATGATTAATTTTCTAAAAATATATGTTTTGATAATATATGCAGGTGGTAATGAAGAACACAACAAAATTGTGCCAAAGTAAGCCTATTGTGACAGTTAATGGTCGTTTCCCAGGTCCGACTATAGTCGCCAGGGAGGACGACACGGTAATGGTCAAGGTGGTCAATCATGTCAAATATAATCTTAGTGTCCACTGGTTAGTAGTTTATTTCTTAACTATATATGTATTTTGGAGTTAATGCATGTTCAATTTGTTAGTATCTCACATCTTCTATATATGTTCTATATATGTTGAAGTCTACAATCTTTTCTCAAATGCTCTTTGATATAAATCTAGTACTCTACATATCTTAACTAACATGGTATCAAAGCACCACCTTAAAGGTTAAACACATCTAGTCCAACCTTATCTAGCATATCCAACATGTTAGACATAGTATCAACTTCCTGTTTGTTTGTATATATGTTGGAATCCACACTTTCTACTTAGATGAAATTTTTGAAAAAATAATCTAAAACTCGACATGTCTAACACAAGTGATGTCTATTGTGACAAACCTAGGCACGGTGTGCGACAACTAAGGACAGGTTGGGCTGATGGCCCGGCCTACATAACACAATGCCCGATTCAGCCGGAGCAGACCTATGTTTATAAGTTCACCCTAACAGGTCAAAGAGGAACTCTTTGGTGGCATGCACATATTTTATGGTTAAGGGCCACAGTCCATGGTGCCATTGTCATCTTGCCAAAGCGTGGGGTCCCTTACCCCTACCCGAAGCCTCATAAGGAAGTTGTGGTTGTATTGGGTAAAGTCTCTTAATTATTTCAAATTAAGGATTAAGAGTCATCATCATGAAACTAACTTACTTGTGATTTTCAGGAGAATGGTGGAAAGCAGATACTGAAGCTGTGATCAACCAGGCGCAAAAACTAGGACAAGCCCCAAATGTGTCAGATGCTCACACCATCAATGGACATCCTGGACCTATTTCGAATTGTGTAGAGAATGGTAGGTTTTCTTATGTACAAAAACTATCACACAAAGATTTCTAGTAGCGATAGATTATTTAAAAATTTCAATCAATTTTGTTGTGTATATAATGTATAAGGTGGGTTCAAACTACCTGTGGATCAAGGAAAGACATACATGCTAAGAATTGTCAACGCTGCACTGAATGAAGAGTTGTTTTTTAGAATCGCCGGACATAAGTTCACAGTGGTTGAGGTCGATGCAACTTATGTCAAACCCTTTACGACAGACACCGTTTTAATAGCACCAGGACAAACCACAAACGCACTTGTCACCGCCACCCAAACTGCCGGAAAATACCTAGTCGCAGCTTCTCCATTCATGGATGCACCCATTGCAGTTGATAACGTGACTGCAACCGCCGCCCTACATTACTCCGGCACTGTCTCATCCGCCGCCACTAAACTGGTTGCTCCTCCACCTCAAAACGCAACTCCGGTCGCTAACAACTTCATAAACTCTTTGAAAAGCTTGAATTCCGTGAAGTACCCCGCGAACTTCCCGTTGACTATCGATCATGACTTGTTTTTCAGCATCGGCCTTGGGATCAACCCTTGTTCGACCTGTGTTAATGGTAGCAGGGTGGCTGCCAGTATCAATAATATCACATTTATCATGCCGACAACCGCACTTCTGCAAGCACATTATTTTAATATAAGCGGGGTGTTCACCGACGACTTCCCTAGCAAGCCATTAATGCCATACAATTACACCGGCACCCAGCCGACAAACTTTGCAACGACAAACGGTACAAGACTATACAGACTTGCTTATAACGCCACCGTGCAACTCGTCTTGCAAGACACCGGAATGCTCACACCGGAAAGCCATCCGCTTCATTTGCATGGATTCAACTTTTTCGTGGTAGGAAGGGGAATCGGTAATTACAATCCCATTACTGATCCTAAGAAGTTTAATCTTGTTGACCCTGTTGAGAGGAACACCGTTGGAGTCCCGGCGGGAGGATGGACTGCTATCAGATTCCGAGCCGACAATCCTGGTACATAATCAATCTTGCTTTAAGTTTACGTATTTTTGAACTACTTGATCATCGTTTTAAAACCATTTTTAATCGATATATTGTTCAGGAGTTTGGTTCATGCATTGTCATCTCGAAGTGCACACGACATGGGGACTGAAGATGGCATTTGTTGTGGACAATGGTAAAGGCCCAAAGGAGTCGATTCGCCCACCTCCCAGTGATCTCCCAAAGTGTTAGAATATTTTATGGAAGTTTTCACGAAATCAATGAGTTGAGCAGCCCATTTTAAGTTGCTCAGGGTTTAATAAACACAACCCAAATATTATTGGGCATGCAACGTGCCAAGCCTTTTAAAACTGTTTTTTCTTCTTCTTTTCTCGATCTATTTTTCTTTTTTAAAGTTGAGTGGTTGTAATTATTTATAAATACATTTCTCACTACTAAGTTCTAATGTTTAGTTAAAAATGGTATTTGTCGGTCTGGAAATAAATACAAAGTTTCATTAGTGATATAGTTAAATAAATGTAATGTTTCTTTGAAAGTCGATTATATTAGAACTAACAAAATGTCAGGACCATTACAAATTACCATACGGAGGGCAAATCCTTCAAATGATTACAACCCTAAATAACCCAAGTAAAACAAGGCACATTGCATAAATCGTTAATCCATGAGTACGACAATGATTGAATGTCATCGAGTATTTTTGGTACCCGTTTAAGCCTACTTTGAAATATTTACTTCGTTCCTTGATCTCCATAAATACCAAAAGTCCATCAAAGAAGAAAAGCACCAAAAAGCTTGGATTCCTTTAGTATGAAATTTTTTTCTTTGTGTTTGAAACAAAACGCTAAAAAACATATTGTAATAGATATCTTTTCAGAGTAAGGGTCCAATGTTCCTTTTACTAATTGGAACTTAATAATCTATATTAAACACCATTATTTTATAAAATTATCACATATACATATTGTAACGACCCAGATCTTCTATGCATCTGTTCTATGTGAAATAACAGAGTTTTCTTACAATCGTGGAATTCTAAAAAAATTAAGGTGCCGTTTAGTTCGTAGAATTTTTTTTGAAGGAATGGAATCTTACAAAGGAATTGGAATACGAAGGAAAATGAATTGGAATTTGATATGTGTTTGGCTGATATGAAAATGAATGTGATTTTTGTTTAGTTTGTTGATTTGTCAAAGGAGAGATAATTTAATCAAGTATTTGATTGTGTTTTGAGAGAAGATCGCGTAGATGATTTGTACATGGAAGGAAGGTCAATTTTGTCTTTTTTATGAAAGATATCTCATGGAATCTATTTTCTTGATGATTTACTAGAGAATTGTAATTCACTCAAATACGGAATATAATTTTAATTAAGGAAAAGAAATTCCTTTTCTTTGGTAAGCCAAACACACTTTGCTATGGATTTTAAATTCTTTTTCCTTCAAATTCCTTGAGAATCCATGAACCAAACGACACCTAAAAGTTTTTACTTCCCAGGAAACAATCACGGGTTTACAATAAAAATCTATCTACTACAAGAACAACAAGGAATTACAAAGAATGGCATCCTAGTACAACGACTGCTACAACCTGAACCTGGAAAACATAAAACTATGCAGTATCAGATACTATGTGTCTGGTGAGTTATTGTTCTTTCTTTTCTTCTCTTTCTCATACTTTATCTTCTAACTCAATCTCTAATAGCATACACTGTTACTCTTCTCTTTTATTTTTATCTAATCGTTCTCTTTTTCTTTTATAGCATACACTGCTATCTTTTCTTTCTTACCTCTATCCCTTTCTCTCCTATATTCTTTCTCTTAAGCCTCTTAATATGCTCTTCTCATATTATTTTCTTAGCCTCTTAACAGGCCCTTCTCATACTCTGTCGCTTAGCCTCTTAACGAATTCCTATCTCACTCTATCTATGTCTCTAACTATGTCTCTTACTCTGCTCTCAGCCTCTTAACAGGCTCTTCTCATGCTATATACATACTTTAACCCTTTCTCTTCTCTATTCTCATCTCTGGTGCCTCAGCACTCTATACACATCTAGACCAAAGGTCTCATCCCATACTCTAAGGGAATAACATACCACTTTCATTACTAGGCCCGCTAACCTAGTCTTACC